TCCCTCCCAAGGCTCCGGCAACATCCATTTTACTTTTTTTTTGTTTTGAAGAAAAACTTTAATTGCTGTTGCAAACATCTGTATGAAGCAGAAATTGGTTTTAATATCCATTCTACTTTTTATTTCTATGAATTCCACTACTTTAGATGTATAAATGGAATCTTAATTTCACTTAGCACATTTTCAAGGTTCACCGTGTTGTAGCACATGACAGAATTTCCTTTTTGAGGCTGAATAATATTGCATTGTCTGTATGTACCACATTTTGTTTATCCATTTGTTGATAGGCATTTGGGTTGTTCCCATCCACCTTTTGGCTGTTGTGAATTGCTGCTGTGTACATGAGTGTGCGATATCTCTTTGAGCCCTTGTTCTGAATTGTTTTGGATATATACCCAGAAGTGGGTCTGCTAGGTTGTATTGAATTTTTTGAGGCATAGACGTACATTTTTACTTACAAAATTTTCTATTGCATGTAGCTGACTATTTTATTTGTCCTGAGATTAAACTTTGACATAATAACCAGTCTCAGATGCAATGTGAACCAGAGTAAGCTTGCTTCACTTTTCCCTGGTTTATGATTTAACCTGTTGCTAATTCAAGGAAGGAGACAGTTTCTGAAAACTTCTGGTTGAAATGAAATAATCTAGGTATTAATTGCATATAATTTTTTCCTATCATTCTTTTAGAGAATGGAATTCTAGGGGGGAGAGGAGTCTTGGTCTTTGTTGATCTATTTATTAGGGAGGTTTGGTACAGACAGAACACTGGGGCCTGTCTCAACTCTTTTTTTTTTTCCCAACTAACCCTCTTGAACTTATTTTCTGAGCATTTGCTTCACATTTACATCAGCTGAAGATTCTTAATTTTCTCTTGCCTTAACACAAAATAACTAATTAAGCCTCAGTATTCTCCCTCCTCAAAATTTTGGCAGTCATTACTCTTAAATTGTTAAGATGATAGCTAGGTTTAAAACTTTTCATAGATTCATAGATTCACAGGAATTTGCAAAGATAGTCCAGAGAGGTCTCTCGTACCTTTTACCTAGTTTTCCCCTGAAGCTATTTTTAATTAAGCCATAAGCCTGAATATTTTTCCTTTAGAATTTTTGGGTAGTGGTTACAGAAGACTGTGAGTGGGTAAGGGCTGGAATGAGTCACTAATACAGTAATAAATACCCTCATAAAGCACAAAGAAGGGGAGGGGCAAGAGGAGAGAGATTTGAGTCTTATTACTCAACTCCTGAAGTATTTGTAAAGAGTTCTTATAGAAGAAACAGAAACAGTAGATACTAGTCAGCCTTCTATGGGACATAAATATCTTCACCTTAGAAAAAGCTAAAGCAGACGTGCTTGCTGAAAATTCAGATCCAGGGTTCCAGCCTAGGAGTCTTAACCTTTCAGTCTTGGGGCAGGGCTTAAGAATCTCCATTTTCAATCACCACTGAGTGTTGTGTTGCAGATTCCTACCGACTATACTTGCGAAATTACATTTTAGGATTTTTAAGAGACCATAGTTTTGTTGCTACTTTATATTCTTATTAAGGTTACGGTTTCATAAGTCAAACTTGAGCATAGTTACACATGTACTTTACCTATGGACCCATACCCATACACACACACACACACACACACACACACGTGTGAAACAGATTCACTGCAGTCACATATATTTACACTCTGATTTATTGAAATCACAGTTGTGACCCCTGAAATTGAGTCGCCATGCCCTGTTTGAAAACATGGCTCTGGTACTAAGTATTGTCCATGGATGAGTAACAGCATGATGGCTGAGATGGAGGAGGACATTGATTCCTTTTCCTCTTTATCTTTTTGGTTCCTTTGAGGAAGTTTTATTATTACTTCAAAATATTTTCCTGCTTTTGCCAATTTAGCCCCCACATTTACCAGTTTGGCGGTTTTTTGTTTTTTTTGTTTTTTGTTTTTTTTTTGTTTTCATTTTCTTTTGATGCCTGCGCACTTAAGTGCCTCTCTGCTATTAAAAACATGTGATGCTTGTTTTTTTTTCTTTTTATTATTTTTATTGAAGTATAGTCGATTTACAATGTTGTGTTAATTTCTGGTATACAGCACAGTGAGTCATTCGTACATATATATATTCCTTTTCGTATTCTCTTTCATTAATGCTTGTATTTTATATACTTAAGAGGGTAAGGCAAGGGAGAAAACCCCAGAAGTGAAATTAATGTTCTCATTAGACTCCATGAGGGTAAACAGAATCAGATTCCCCAGCTTGTTTGATATAAACAGCTTTAAAATAATTGGCTGGAGAGGGGAAGGTGTAGCTCAGTGGTAGAGCACGTGCTTAGCATGCACAAGGTACTGGATTCAACCCCCAGTTCCTCCATTAAATAAACAGACAAACAAACAAACCGAATCCCCTCCCCCACCAATTGGCTGGATCATCCTCACATTGCAATCATAAATTAGAGGTATAGAAAGGACCCCAAACTTTGGTAAATTATTAGTTGAAAATAAGATCAGATTACTTAAATGAAGTAAATTAAGTGAAGTAAAGTTTAGCCAAGAAAAACGGCTAACATTGGCCTATGAATCCTCACCTGAATTCTTTAAGGTATGAAATATTGTTACTCCATTTTACACATGCGAAGACTGAATTTAGAGAGGTTTAGTGATGCCCAAGGATACAGTCGGTAAAGGACAACTGTGAAACTTCCCCTCAAATTGCAGTTTAGTTATTCCTAATAAAATGAGGGAAATTTGTTCTCTGTTCAGTTATGGGAACAGCATGTGAAAATGTAATGGGGCAAATTGATGGCTCCTTGTACAAGTTAGAAAATTTTATTGGTAATACAAATAGTGGTCTCTCCTGAGATGAATTAATACTGTTTTATGTAGCTCTATGTTAAAACACAAAAATAACCTTTCTTTTCCTGTCATCTTGAAAAAGTGGTTATAAGAGAAGACTAAATGCTCCTAGTCCCTTGCAATTAAGTAGCCAGGAAGCAAATATTTAGGTACCAGATGATATTGTGGAATAAAAAGTAACTTTTTTGCAAAGTCTGATACAGTGAGGAGTGTGTTCTTACTTGTGGATTAGCCCAGACCCAAACTTGCCGTGCCCTAGGTAAAGAAGGCTTTCCTCTTCCTTTGTTGTTGTATTTGCTAAAAGTTGTTGGTTTGTGGTAGCCAAGGTAACAAAAGACTTCAGAAGGAAAACCCTTTAGACATTGGAACCATATATTGGAACCAGGTATACAGGTGCTGGCTCTTCCTGTACACCTGAGTTTAGGGGTGTCTGCAGCCCTAGAAACTTAATCTTAAAATTCTTCCCAACAAAGATATTCTGTACCTTTTTGGGGCTACAAGGACATTTTAGAGAATCTGAGAACCAAGACTCATCCTCCAGAAAAACAGACCTGTACAAAACATTTGCATCTAGTAGTGTCAGGTTCTACCTGACTGCTTGAAGCCAAGCCTTGGGTCTAAGCATCTCTGCCTTGAAGGATTGGCGTTAGAATTATATTGTGTTAAATATTGTTTGAATCAAGTAGTGCTCAAAATTGACATGTACTTGAGATTATTTGCTAGTGTAATTTTGTTTTTATGTGTGGGAATCTGAGCACAGCAAGTTTAGATTTAAGGGGGTCTTGATGTTTAGCCCAGACAGGTTAAACCACAGTTATTGCTAAATCTACATGAGAAACAAGGTTATTGACCCGTTTTATTAGAAACTGAGGCTTGTAAAGATTTGTGTTCTGAGGCAGTGCTTTGCAAACTGGGTCTGGACCTGTAAGGGAGTCTTAAAATCCATTTAGTGCATTTGGCTAGCATCAAAACAAATGAAAATAGACTACAGTAGGAAAAAAAACCATTCCGTATCACATAATATAAGGTCACGTATTTAGTGAAACCTTTGCTTAGGTGTGTATTTATATATGTACATGTACATGCATGTATAATATACATAAACATTTTTATTGCATTGCAATGTGAAATATATATATATCTTTTTGGTTCCTAAGTTTTATTCCAGAACTTATACAAAATATTCCAGATAATTATGTTTTAATCCTCATCTTCCTCCTCTTATTCATCTTGATTGATCTGAAAGTAACGCAATTTTTAACTCTCTCTGCTGTTAGCAACTACGTGCAACCAATCACATAGATTATTCTTCAGATATTTTTTGGTGAGATATTTCAGATAACTTTTGGAAAAAGGCACCTCAGAAGTTACAGTAATCTTGCTTTTGCTTCTCTCGATTGTTACAACAATTCCACTGAGATTTCCAGGTTTTCCATTCACTTTGATTCTCTCCTATAGAAACTGCTCAAAGTTGGCAGCATCCATGATTCTCTCTTCTACAGGGTGGGTGCAGTCCAGGGTAAAAGCTACAGAACCTGATTCTTTTTTTTGCCCCCCTCCGCCACAAGCTTTTTCACAGGTGCCATGGCGGCAGCGGAGGCAGAAAGGAAAATATTTCTTAATATATGATGTGATTTTAAAAAGTTACAAAGTCACAGTTTTATGTCTGTCTGCTTTTGAGGTAGTTTGAGTATCTGAATTTCTAATATTTTTGTGGGTTTTTCTTCAGGGGCAGATGTGGGGTGGATTAGGGCTTAAGAATTAGGGCAAAAGAGTAAAGGAACAAATGTCTTTGAATCTTGAGTGTTTAAATAATAAAGTTGAGATGGGATTTTACTGTTTTCAGTAGTTTTGGGTAGTTAAGGCTGAATTTGTTTTGTGAAGCTTTTGAAAGCTATTATAACCAGAGGAAGATGTGTAATAAATTTATAGTTGGATTTATTGGACATGTTGTCTGTAGCTGAGCGAATGTTAAATGACTTAATATCAGGTTATCTGATAGAACATTCTTTCTGATTCAAGACTGGAAAGATCTGTTTTAAATAACGTCAGCTATTCTGGCATTGCTTAGAGCCACTATCTGAGTATTTCTCATTGTGTTTATACGTAAAATGCAGGACCAGTGAAAAAGTGGGGAGGGCGTTGGGACTTGTGCAGGGAGGCCGTCTGTAGGTTTTTGGTTTTGCTTTTTAATGTGAAATAGTTTTCAGGAAAGGTCATACCAATAAACATTAGGTGGTGTTTCAAAAAAAACTGCACTATAGACATAAGGTAATGGCTTCTTTTTTCCTTTCATTTCTTTCAAAGGTTTGGGCCCCATGGGATTCCTGTGACAGTATTTCCCAAGAGGGAATACAAGGATAAACCTGAAGCCATGCAGCTCCAAAGTCATACATTCCAAGAAGGAACAGAGGTGAAGCGTGAAGTGAATGGTGCTGTTCCCGATGACCCTTCTCCTGTCCCACCTCCCGAGCTGAACTTGGCTGAACGCCTGTGGACTTCCAAACCACCACCTCTCTTCCATGAAGGAGCACCTTATCCTCCCCCTTTGTTTATCAGGGACACATATAACCAATCAATACCTCAGCCGCCGCCTCGGAAAATTAAGCGACCCAAACGAAAAATGTACAGGGAAGAACCTACTTCAATAATGAATGCTATTAAATTACGGCCCAGGCAAGTCTTATGTGACAAATGTAAAAACAGTGTTGTTGCTGAAAAAAAAGAAACCAGAAAAGGTGGTAGTGCGAGTGACTCTTACAAATACGAAGATAAAAAACGGAGAAATGAAAGTGTAACTACTGTGAACAAAAAACTGAAAACTGACCATAAGGTGGACGGGAAAAACCAAAATGAAAGCCAGAAAAGAAACGCTGTGGTGAAGGTTTCAAATATTGCTCACAGCAGAGGCAGAGTAGTCAAAGTTTCTGCTCAGGCAAATACATCAAAAGCTCAGTTAAGTACGAAAAAAGTGCTCCAGAGCAAGAACATGGATCACGCGAAGGCTCGGGAAGTGCTGAAAATTGCCAAAGAAAAGGCACAGAAGAAGCAAAGTGAAACCTCTACGTCCAAAAACGCACATTCAAAAGTCCATTTCACACGTCGGTATCAGAATCCTAGCTCAGGGTCCCTTCCACCCCGGGTCCGCTTAAAACCGCAGAGGTACAGGAATGAAGAGAACGACTCTTCCCTGAAGACAGGGCTGGAGAAAATGCGGAGCGGCAAGATGGCGCCCAAGCCCCAGTCCCGCTGCACCTCCACCCGCTCAGCAGGTGAGGCCCCTTCAGAAAATCAGAGCCCCTCCAAAGGCCCTGAAGAGGCCAGCAGTGAGGTTCAGGACACAGCTGAAGTGCCGGTGCCTGGGGAGCAGGATGAACCGCAGACACTGGGCAAAAAGGGCAGCAAAGGCGAGCTCTCTGTTTACATGCCCCTAAATCAGAAGAAGTCTGACTCTTCCAGTGCGTCAGTGTGTAGCGTTGATAGCACAGATGACCTGAAGTCCTCCAACTCTGAGTGTAGCTCTTCCGAGAGCTTTGATTGTCCTCCAGGCTGTATGCACGCACCTTCCACCTCCTCCACTTCCTCCTCTTCAAAGGAAGAGAAAAAGCTCAGTAATTCCTTGAAAATGAAAGTCTTTTCCAAAAACGTCTCTAAATGTGTCACACCAGATGGCAGGACCATATGCGTAGGGGACATTGTTTGGGCCAAGATATATGGCTTCCCTTGGTGGCCAGCCCGTATTCTCACTATAACTGTGAGCCGGAAAGATAATGGCCTCCTAGTCCGACAGGAGGCCCGTATTTCATGGTTCGGGTCTCCAACAACATCTTTCCTGGCTCTTTCGCAACTCTCCCCCTTTTTAGAAAACTTCCAGTCACGCTTTAATAAGAAGAGAAAGGGCCTGTACCGCAAGGCCATCACAGAGGCAGCCAAGGCTGCCAAGCAGCTGACCCCTGAGGTGCGGGCTCTGTTGACACAGTTTGAAACGTGAGCACGGACAGTAAGGTAGGCAAGAACCTCTGGGAGGCGCCACAGAGTCTCTAGTCTAGCGAAGAGTGACTTCTATGAAACAGCATGGCCCAACTGGAGAGAGAAATTGCACTCAGTTGGCTGCTTTTTTGTACTTAACCTTATAGCCATTTTTAGACCGAGAAGCTTGAACTGAACAAGCAATCAAATTTTGTCTTAAGGAAGTGAGATTTTAGCATATTCAGTTTTGAAGTCTAAAACCATCTCAAGGCATAGGAGCCATAGCCTCAACTGAAAATGAATTTTTGCAGGGACTGTTAATTGCCATTTGTACCTAGTACTGTGTGTACGTGTGTTCATATATATACACACACACACGTGCGTGTATATGCATGTGTATATACACAGGTGCACACATATAAAATATAGCCTGTCACTGTGTGACAACAGGTTGCATATTTGGGGTCATAGTAAGGGCTGGTGAGCTGGGGGAACGGTGTGGATATTTAAGGACTACTTGTCTCTTAGTTAGTGAACACTTAGTCTTTCTACGTGCATAATGGCACAGCGTTTGACACTCGGGTGTTTGGCGAGCTGAGATGCTTGCTGTTGAGTTTCAGACTGGGCAGATAGCCCGGTATTTGGGATTAAGACTGTTAAGGCTGGGTAGGTTTGAATCATCACTCTCTCTCTTTTGTCCAATGGGGACTTAACAAAAACTTTCAGACTTCACGGTTTGGGAGTTCAGATAGGTTTGTCTTTGGTTGTGTAAATAGTTGATTGCTAAATCTGGTCAGATTTCTCCTGACTGACTGGCTGTTCCTAAATTCTTAGGATACATCCTGGTAAATTACACTTTGTGAATTAATTGTTATATGTGTAATTGTTGCATTTTGGATGTGTACCTAGTTTGATAATTTTTAAAAAAATATTTCCATTTAAGGTATCTGTTTGCAGGTCAGAAAATGAGAAACTGTAATTGTGTAATGCTCTGAAATGTAAAAAAAAAAACAAGCTGTAAATAAAATCAACTAAATCCAAATTATTTGTGTGTGTTTCTCAAAAAGCCTTGAAAAATTTCAAGATGGTAGAAAACTATACTTTGTAATAGTGTATAGAGGAGGTGAAAAATCACTTTTTCCTATTTGCCCTATCAGGGAATGTATAATGAGTGTAGATAAAATTCAAGTAAGTGATTAATCAGTATATTGTAAAAATGAGGCTTTGTAGTAGAGGTCTGATATGCTTCTAGATTTGAGGCCCTGCTCCCACTTTCTCATAAATGCATGGGTTTTAATTTTTTCAATCTAATTTTTTTCAAATGACTTTTTTCATTAAAAATTTTTTAGCCATAATAATTAATTTTCACCATATAGTTTTTTTTTTAACATTTGCGTAGATAGAACCAGTCTCTTTTCTGCTTGGTATTCTGCCTCAGGTATCATTGCTTTTGGGGCCCATAACTTAGCCGACATGGTTCATCTGTCCCTAAGATTTGAGTTCTTACTTACCATTTTTAGCTTTGTATTGTTGGTGAAAATTCTGATGGATTGCCTGTGGAGGCACTTTTGTCCCAAGATTTTTTAAGTTGCTTTCATATTTTTTTGTGTCTAAATTTTTAAATTTGGTATGTCAGCTTGACACTTGGAAACTTAGGACTTTCAAAGAGAGCAAATTTTTGTGGATTTCTAGGTAAGCCAATTTGAAATCTCAGTTACTGTGGAATTAAATAAGAAAATGGAGATAGAAAATCAATAGTCTTCTGTCAGCTTCCTTAAGGTCACGGGCTTCTGTGACTATGTACGAGTTTCTGCAAAAGCAAGTAGAATGTCTTCTGGGGAACTCAGTCAATGCTTTTTGATTATAATAAACACACAATTAAAAAAAGATGTTTCACCTGAATAGAACATATTCTTTCCTGCAAACAGAAACAACTATACTATCTTAAAAATTCTTTGATTATAATAGGTTGAAAGATGCTCAGTGTGATTGAGGGGGTCTTAAAGAGTTTTCCAAGTATTTGTTTCAGATTAACGAATTTATTCACTTAGATATTTTTGAAAGTTTGAAATCTAAGGTTCAGAAAGATTTAAACGAGGCAGAGCAAAAAGTTAAAATATGTAATTCCAAGGTTTTGTGTAACGATCCAGGTGAGTTTTCTGTTAACATAGTGGTTTTGACAGTGATTATTACATAGTCAAGTGGTTGGACATACATGCTCTGGTGGCATAAACCAAATTTGATTTGTTTCAGAAGCCATGGGAAAGAAGAAAAAATAGTAAAATCATGATTGTTGAGTACAAAAGGAACAATTTGATACAGTCCATACTTCTAAGGAAAAAGTTGAAGCATAATCACAAATGTGCACCATCTCTAATTATGCCAAATAATCCCTCAGTTTCAAACCAGCAGTCTGGCATATTTCATCTGAAGTTTCAATAGGGAAAAAAGTTTTAAAGAATTTCTCTAATCTTCAGATGAACTATGTATTCTTAACACGAATCCAGTTGCTGCAAACAGAATGATGTTTTATTCAAATAGAAGTTTCTTAAGTAGCTGAGATACAGTTGTCCAGTATCTACTGTGGATGGACATAGAGATGAAGTGGGTAATTGCAGCCATTTTTCTTTTACATTCCTCTAAGGAAAAAAAAAAGCACTCCTTATATGGACATAACCAAATGGGCAATTTTTTTCTTTCTTGTAGAGAGAAAACTAGGCTTAAGCCAAATGTCTAGCGGTCTAAGAAAAGTGGCGAGAACCGGATTAGCAAGGGGGAGAAACGAAGGGAAGAAAGAACTGAAAGCTGAAGAGATCTTTATTTCTAGACGTCTTCAGGAATGTAAAGCGTCAGTGTTTTTCCCTTTTAGTTTTCTAGAACTTATAGACCCCAAAGAGTCTGGTCTATAAACCTGGGGCTCTTTAGATGTGGAACCAGAGACCTAAAAGAGCAGAGAAACAAAGTCAGGTTCGCTAGTCTGACGCCCATTTGCAAGACGATGATGGTGTGTCCTGCCCAACTTGGTTTTGATGGGAAAAATCTGTAAGTAATTTTAGATTGTTACCAAGAAAAGACAGGACAGACAGAAATACAGATAGGAGGGTGGACTCGAGGCAAAGGATGTGGACCTTAACTAAAATCAGCTAAATCAGTGTATATCTTCATTAGCGGGTCAGTTTCTAATTTACAAGATACTGAGTTGCAACCCTATTTGAGTAGGTTGTCTGCACTGTTGGTTACGTGGAAGAAAAGGTACACATTTCCATTTATAGACATACATTCTTTTATGTAGAGTAGCTGAGTTGGGAATTGGAAATTCCTTAAGAAACCTATAATTTGGATCTAAAATTAGATTTTCCCTTTTAAGTTGTGAATTTTTTCTACAGTTTGTGCTACACTGGTTCACATTTGTTGCTTCTATAGATCAGAGAAGAGACTGGCAAATGTCTAGAAAAGTGGATAATGTTTTAAGTCAGGACATTGTTTTGATTTTGGGCCCAGTGATGGCCTCCAGTAGGGAATTTGCCAGAGAGAATTCTGAAGACCCAATTTCTAAGTTGGGACAAATTTAGTGTTTGCTTTGGGATTGTACTAATATGGTTGCTATTAAAACAATCTCTAATTGAGATGCTTGCTGGAGGGAATTCAGAAATAGAACGGGAGGCTGGTGCCATGCCAACTGCCAGGAGAAGTCAGACAGCTCGGCTGCCTTAATTACTTCTACCTGCTTCTGACTTGGTTACGAGGCTCTTCACAGTCTGTATTTACAGTTCATGTCCACTTACTACACTGCTTCATTCAACAAAGAGTGAACAGAATTAAAAGCTGAAAGCGTTAGCAATTCCAGTCGTAGGGGTCTGGACGATCTGCAGAGTTTGTTTTCCAGGAAGCCTTGGGGTCTTTGCCATGGACACTAAAGGTAGACGAGAAACAGCTCAACTCTTTCTTGCTTAATCTTTTCTCAAGTAAGAGACTTCACATTTATAGACTCAAACAGGTTTTTTTTTTTCCTTTTTCTTTTTTTCTTTTTACTTTCCTTCTGACGAGGTGGAAATCATTATTTCCTTCATGTTAGTAGAGCACTGTAATTTGCTGGTTTGGCTTTTTTTTTTTTTTGTATTTAAAAATTGTCGCTTAATATACCAAACACAAAATTTACCATTTAAGCCATTTTTTAAAGTGTACAGGTGTGTGGCATTAAGCACCTCCACATTGTTGGGTAGTTGGCACTGCCATCCATTTGTAATTTGGTTTTTGATAGAAATCTTTTAAGTTTGGATAGGACTGTCCTCGAAGGTGTTTGGAAATTCGGTCACAGGCGTGTCTGTCTTGGTCTAGCACCGTGATTGGCACGTGGTGCTGGAAGCCTGGTTTCCTGCAGTGCTTTGCAGTCAGCACTGCGGCTGACGATTCCGCGTCCTTAACGACTCACCGCCTCCTGGTGACAGTCTTAGGCCAGTTAGTATGACTGCATTTACCTATTAAGTGCTCCTAAGAGTAGGTTTTAGGGTAAAACCGTTACTTCCTAGTGACAGAAACAGTTGTTTTGGACAATTTTATGAACGTGGAAGCCGTTTAGATGATTTTCATAATGGAATTTGTTTCCAAAACTTAAAGTATTTACATACCATCACACTCTACCATATTTTTATAATATTCATACCATTTTCCCACTCCTTATGCCAGTACAATCCTTGGAAAATATACACCTTGACATACATGGATAATTCTATTAAAATTGTAAGGTCATTTCGTGTACCATACTTTGGTAGGAAATACTGAAATAATTTACCTTTTTCTTTTTTTAAGGTTTTTTTTGGTGGGGGGAGGTAATTAGGTTTATTTATTTATTTGCACTTTTTGAGGGAGGTACTGGGGATTGAACCCAGAACCTCATGCATGCGAGGCCACACGCTCTACCACTGAGCTGTACCCTCCCCTCAGTTTACTTTTATATTGTTCCTTTAAATCCATTTTGGATAGACTGAGTCAAATTTTAGTGCATCTAAATAATCTCTGGAAAAAAACTGCCAAAC